CTCTTCTTCAACAATGGTGGCTGCCAACCTTTGACATCTTGGATGAGTGTACATGGTTGGTGCAATAGCAAATGGTTGTTGCACATTAATGGCAACCAACCTAACAAGATGGCACTTCGGCATCTTTTTGTTTTGTTTTAATGGGAAAAAGATGAATAATGAAATAATAGTATTTCTTAGTTTGGTTCCTAAACCTTTGGAGCTTTCTAATGGAACCCTTAGCCTACTTCGATTAGACACTCGAATTTCTACTCTTTTTACATGCTAATCAAATTCTTTAATTTAACTTTTAATTTACCTCCAAACTTTTAATTTCTTAAAATTTTAATTTTAATTTTAATTTTATCCATTTAACTTTGTAAAAATTATATTTAGTTCTTTATAATTTTAATATTCTTAATTAAACCCAAACTCAACTTATAAACTTATTTTTTAATTAATTAAACCCTTAATAAAATTTATTTGACTCATTGAGTTATTATATTTAATTAATTCTTTTAATCTAACCAAAATTAATTTTTAAATTTCATTAAACCTTTAATTGGATCCATAATTAAATTAAATTGACATATTAAAAATCTAATTATATCCTCGAATTTAATTAATTTTTATGAAAATTCATTCTATTATTATTGTTTAATTTCACCTTAAACCTACATTATCTTCTAATATTAGATATAATTTTGTTCAAAATTCCATCTTAATTTCTTCATGTATTTGAAAAAAAATTTAACTTATTCTTGCTAAGTTGTAGTCTTTTTTCATCTCAATATTTTTTTATTTTTTGGTTGCTTTTTATTAAAAAAATGATGATAATTTTAGAAGAAATCCAAAATTAGATTATGAGGTAAACGGTCATGTTCTAATTGCCTCTTATGCTCGGCATACTTAGCCAAGCTTGTAAACCAAAGCAAGGCCGCAGATGATGATAATGATGCTTGTAAGATGTGCTAAATGCATACGAATTTCATGACATAGTTTTTCATTATAAAGACACACATTCATTATTGATCAATCTTTAAAAGAGATTTTCGTTATAAAGAAATTCACAGATTCATTATTGATGAAATTCCAAAACATTTTTTCCATGAATAAATGCAACTGATGAAGTGTTTGTATTTGATGCCATTCAAATTGTGAATAGATAATATTGATAAAAATCATGCTAATAGATATGTAAAATTAAATTTAAAACAGTTTATAGAGTTATAGGAGAGGCTAATTCTTTTAAATAACTTTAGCTTCTACAATATTTTAATCACAAATTAGAGATTTTATAGAACTATATCATCCATTATAATTGCAAGTGGGAGAAAGAATAGCTTACCTGGTTTGCTGGAGATCAAGCCGATGGCGATGGTGCACTGGTTGGGCAACGCTTCTTTTTTCCCTGCTGTTTCTGTTTTCGTTTCTCTCCTATCATCCTTCTCTCTGGTTTCTCTGTTTTTTTGTGTTTTTGGCTCTCTCTGTATGGTCTTTCCTCAGTTTTTTTTCTTGGGTTCTCTGTTTTTTTTGTTCTCTCTCTTTTCTTCCTGGTCCCCTTGCTCTGGTCCTTCGCTGGCTTTTTATAGGGCCAAAAAATGTCAAATCTCATCCATATCTTCCTGGGGATGGCGATGAAGATCATTAATATTTTTTCTCCGTGTTTGGGTGGAATGAAAACACCAACAGTCCTGCCATTGTGGGACTGTTGGTGATTAACTTTATCCTAGCGCCAGAGGCGCATCGTAGGGATGAAGGGAACTGAAACACCCGTGCGATTTGTGGTAGACAACCCGGTCTGTTATTTTGGCTTGGATTTGGTGAGATTAGTGAGGGGATTGGGTCTGGCCGATGCCATTTTTGGCAATTTTCTCGCACCAATTTTCCTCTGTTTCAGAGGAAGGGGGAATGAACAGTGGAATTTAAAACGGCGTTGTTTGCTCGGCTGAAATGTCTATCTTCAATTTGCACCCTGAATTTCTGACATTTAGCAATTAGGCCCTTATTCAAGGAAATATTCCTCTCTTTTTTAATTTCGCCCCTGGATCAATTGCAATTCGACCCTGGATTTCAAAATCATTTACACAATAGTTCTTGATTTCAATTTTAACCAATTCAGTCCTTAATTAACTCCTCAACTTTTAATTCTTTCAAAATCCCCTATAGTTTGCATATTCACTTTGCTCCTTGGACTTTAATTTCTTTTAATTTTGACCCAAATTGACCTTGAACTTTAATTGTTTTTTCAATCAAGCCCCTGGTTTAATTAATTAAACTAAATCAAAGTCTAATTAAGCCTCTAAACTTATCAATTCTTCTATTTTTTGATCAAATTGACTTTCAAATTTATAACTTCATCATTATTAGTCCTCAAACTTTTAATTTCTGTGGCCTTGACCTAATTCTTAAATTTATTTTTCATTCACTATTTTTTTATATTTTCTTGGAAATTAAAAAAATGGATTATGATAATAAGGAAAAAAAATTGAGTGAGAAGAAATGAAAAAAAAATTGAAGAGGAGAAAATAAAAGGGGAAAATCTAAAGAGGAAAAAAATTGAAGAGGGAGATGGATTAAGCTTAAAAATTAAAACCGTAAATAGGTTGCCCCCCTCGGTTGAAAGATAGGGCTCTCTTTAGCACAAAAACCCTACCAAAATCTCTCTTTATACACTTTAGATTATGATAATGTTAAAAGTTGTTTTCTTGTTAATATACTTTAGATTTAGACTTTCTATTTATTTTTTTAAGAATATATTTGAAGTTTAAATAATTACTATGACATAAATTTTAACCTTGATTAATTTTATAACATGGATTTTATTTTTAATCATACTTTTTCTTGAAGTATTCTCACTTTATTAGTTAATTTGGTCAAGATAGAATTAATTAAATACATTTATGGATGGATCAACTCACTTGAGGACTGTAAATATAATTAATTTAAGCACATATGTGTAAAGATTGATTTTTATGATAGGTTTATACTTATGCATATAAGAACAACAACAACTGTTTATTTCCTTTAATATATGTATATTTATTTGTTTATTTTTTTTTTTTTTTTTTTTGGTTTAATTTTTCTATCCTTTATAAAGAGTTTAATTTAAAAGAATTATAAACATGAAATATATTAAACTTGAACTTGGATTAGATTATTTTTCTTTGACATGTATATTTTAGAAATCCTTGAACTCAAGTTTTAAAAATATATTGAATGTCATAATTCATATAAATAAATTAAATAAAAATAATTTTTCCATGAATCCAGACAAAATAGACAACCCTTTATTAACACTTTTAAAGTGTAACCATCCTCATTATCCAATTTTTGATGATAAATATTAGGTTTTTTTTTCTAAGTTCTTGTTGATAAAATTTAGATAGCGACTTTTTTTATTTTTACAAAATACCTTGATATTTTATGAGTTTTCATATAGATATAGATGATCTCTATATAAATTTTTTATGTAAATCAATTTAATATACATATCTTATAACAAGTACCTATGTATTAGTTTTAAGTATTTCTTATATTTTAACTTACAAGATTATCTGTTTTTTCATAGAAAAAAAACATAATATATATCAATCTTTACAACTCTAATAAATATCTAGTATTTAAAAAAATATTTTAGAAATAATATTTTGATACAATAGAATTCTTATAATTATAACAACTTTATAATTTTTTTTGTAAAGCATTTCTCTCCATGGATTTTATATTTATTATAGATGGATTAATCTAATATTGTATTAATATTAAAAACAAATAAAATATTTATTAATAATAAATATATATTTACATTAATATAATAATATCACATACAAAATATAAACATGTAAATCCAACACAGAGACTGCACAAAGCTTTAAAGAGGATTTTGTCCACTGACCTAAACTTGAGCTTTCCCTTAAATGAAAACCCAACTTTTGTTTAGACGAACCTCTGAGGTATTCATGGAGATGGCGAGTTTAATCCACACACATCATCTTACTGTTTGAATCAAATAAAGGATGTCCAATGAAAAATTTATTATGAATATTTAGATAGCCTATCTTGAAACCAAATAAGAAAGGATTTAATCTCAAGGTTGAAGAACTAGTAACAACTAATCCGCATGTATCCTAACCATTTAATATTAATATATTAAAAAATTAAAAACATTTAATTTAACACTTGGATTGAATTTCGATCTCTTTTTTATACGATCCCTTTCCAAACTTTTTTTTCTCTATACGGTCAAATTAGCAAGGCGGTAGTGCAAGTAACTATCAAAACAACCGGCAAGGGAATCCTGCATCGAAGGGAGTCGACTTGAGGGTAGAGAGTAGCTGGGAACCATCGATGATAGAAGCTACAAAATAGAATAACACTAGCTGGCGTTGTACGTTTGGCATCATTAGTGAAAACCTCCTCCAGTGCTTTAATGCCGCCAGCATCACCTTGTCACATCAAATATGCCAGTGGTATTTTCAGATCATGCCCACAAGAAGTTTCCAATTTGACGCGTTTTCATGACACTACCATGAAAATGTCCTGGAAAGTATCGATACAGCAGCCCTCCCTCTTGTGCCACTTGCAAACTCCAAGTTGTAGTAGAGGTCTACCACCACAACTGCCTCTGTCTAGACCATCCAGAGCCCCCCAGCTGCAGTTGCTAGACGTAGCTGCTCCTAGTGATTCTGTTGCAACCGCCCCCGGGCCCTCAAGCAAGCAATACCTCGAACGCAAACCACAGGCCACAGGCCAATAGATGGTGCAGCAACTTCATTCAAGATAAAATGTAGTGTTCACCCTTCTATTATTCCTAAAAATTCTTTTTGAGGAAAAAACACGGAAGTCAAACGAAACAATGAAAATAACAATGGAGAAGGCCTAATCGGGGGGGAGCTTGAACAACATGCTTTTCATTATCTAGCTAAAAGAGTTGGTACTAGCAGTAATCTTTATACAACAGACTAGATTACAACAAGAATGTTACAAACAAACTGACATCTGCCCTTTACAATAATCAAAGAAGAGAGTTGTCTTGGTATCAACAAATTCAGCACCTCCCCCTCCGCATCAAAATTAAGTTTCTTCTCCCCTGATCACTCCCACTACCCTCTTAGGAGTTTATAAAGAGGAGTTCACTAACTTCACTCGGTGGAAAAAGAAAATTTGTAGCCGGATTCTTCGAACGAGCGAGGAACCATTAGATGTTACACCTGCGTGGTTCAGCTCGACTATTTTTGTTGATATTTACATTCCTTCAAATGGGTCTCCTTCTTGGTGATGTACCAGGTGTTTGAACTTTTAATAAGGTGGTATCAAAGAAAAGATCGTGAGTATATGTAGTTTGTCTTATTGGATGTAATAAGGGGTCGCTTAAATGGTAGCTGCTTTGCCCTACCATAGCATAGGGTGAGTGAGGAGAAAGATAATTCCTGTATGCAGACCCATGTTGTCGCAGTGGGCTAGAACAAGGAGATACAGGCATAGATGTGATCATTCCGCCATCATCCCTGCACACAACAAAATTGAAGTTAATTTAAAACTCAGGAATGATTATTAAGCATGAGCGGAAATATATATATGAATGGCACAGTGCCATTTACCTTGGATTTTTCAATGCTCTGGTATTACTATTAACCCCTGGCTTCATTGCAAAATCTCCATCCCAAGAATGGGCACTTGTTCGGTTGGAGTGCAGATCTAAGACTGGCTGCTCAGATGATATAATAATTAAGCACTTAGATAGTGTGCAACTTTAGGTTGAAAAGAAAAGGACTATGAGCGCTAATGCTAAAGTTCTAAAGGATATAGCAGCAGTGAAAACTTTGCAACAAGTCTCTTTCACATACACAAACTCTATAAATCTTTAGTAACAATAATATAGGGGTCTCCAATTGCCAAATGATATGTAGTAAACGTGATAGATTCAATCTCGTATTGCATTTGAACCAACAAAAACTTTCTTGGACAATTCTTTTACAGCACAAAAGCTTTTGGTGAAGGAGATTGAAAAGCCTGGTGAAATACCACGTAGCTGTTTAGCATGTACACTTTTCACTAAATAAACACTGCTTTACTGTGAATTCCACGAGCATGTCACAAATTCCTTCTAATAATCATGTTCCGTAAATCATCTATCCCCTTGTTATATATTAAATTAAAGCTCAGCTCATTTGGAAGGAGCAGACACATATATAAAATATGAGGTTACTACGCATCTAAGAGGCATACCGGTGTGCGGCTTCCATCAAAAGTTCTGGGAAAGGCATCCCTAGTAATGTTGATGTTCGCAACTCTTGTTGTTGCTTGGTCCCGAATAAATGGGTGGTCCAACAACTGAAAGGCTGTCGGCCGTGCTGATGGATCTCGTTGCAGGCATAACTTTATAAAACTTTTTGCATCATTGGAAAGATGATCAGGTATATCTGGCATATCTTTGCTGTTTCCAATTTTAAATATTGCAGCAACCTGTTAAATTCAAAAAGATAAAACAATCTTGATAAGGGGCACTTTAAAACTGGAAATGGCAGAGCAATAGCCACAACACAATTTCTTCTATTTAAGTTCTAAATTTTCAGAGGCGCACCCCTTCATACTGACTCCATGGTGGTTTTGATGTTGCCATTTCAAGAAGTGTGCATCCCAAGCTCCATATATCTACTTCAAAACTGTAGCCATTTGTATTCATCACCACCTGAAATAAGAGTATCCAGAAAAACAGTAACATTAATTGAAGAGAAAAAAACAAAAAGAACAAGAAGAATGAAAGGCTAAAAATGGACTGAAAGATTGGATTTGGGCAAGGCAAAGTACAAGGAAAGGTATTTTTTTTTCTGAGAGATAGAGAGAGAGGCTACCTCAGGCGCCATCCAGTAAGGACTTCCCTTGAATGAAAGCATTGAAGAGCATGCCGTGATCTAATTCAAAATAACACAAATTAAAACACTTTCAATTATAAGCCAAAAAGAGATGGAAAAGGGAAAAAAAGTATCTGACACTAATGGCGAAAAACACGGCAAAATTTAGGGAAAATTATCTTGGACACCCTATGATACAGTGTTTTCTAATATTACATGCACTTTATACCCTCATGTGACATTGTTAAAGTTTATGTTACATTAAAAGTGAAAAGAAAAAATCTCCCTAACATAAAAACACAAGTTTAATGGCAATTTGTAATAAACATAATGCTTATTTTTAATGGAGTCTAAACAAAATGCGTTGTGATAAACCATTACAAACTACAGGGTGCTAATTAACATAAAAAATATAGACAAAGCGCCATAATATTAGAAAAATAGGATACACAAGAATTAAAATACCATAGGGTGCTCAAGATAATTTTCACTAATATTTATTATTCTCAAATTTCACCAGCCAAATGCTTTTTTCAGTGTTTGCCAACTTGTTAAATGTGCAATCATACACAATAGGCGCATGGAATCAGATTGTCTCCAGAAGATTGATTAAAAGGAAAAGAATACTTGAATCCTAACTATTTGTTATTTTAAGGTGCACACATGACAAAATTCTCATGAAAGAGAGCATCATCTGCACAAACATACACTCTCTTATTTAGCTACTTCCACATCTAAGGAGCTGGGAGTAAATTGGCAATTAAATAAGTCCAATATTTCTTTGAAAATATTTTATATTTTAAAATCTGTTGTAGATGAGACATACATGCTTAGCCATGCCAAAGTCAACCAACTTGATTACACCATTAGGGTCCACTAATATGTTTGCACCTTTGATATCCCTGCCATGAACAACACATTTCATAAAACAATGGAGAGACTGAAGAAACTGTGATTTCAGATGCAAACTATCAACCCTAATTACAGTTAACACATACCTGTGAACTGTATTTCTTCCATGCAAATAGGCAAGCCCAGAAAGAATCTGCCTGGTATAATTTTGAATAACCGGTTCCTTAAAGGCACCATATTCTTGAAGCAACTTGTGGACTGAACCACCAGAGACGTACTCCAGATAAACTGAAAGCCTTTCTTCACTCTGGGAAAATGAAAAGGCAAAGAGATTACAGAATCAGGGTCCAGCATACACAATTGATCACTCGGATTGAACAAAATAGAAGTTAAGATGTCAGGAAATGGATTTCAATCATCCCTCTCAATCATGTGTGAAAACATGAGACTTTCATGTGCAAAAGTAACTCATACCAGTTCACTTCCATAGTAACGAACAATGTTTGCATGTGACAGCTGACTAAGCATATTTATCTCCTGTTGGCAAGGAGCAGCAGTTAGAAATGCATCATTAATCACCGAAAAATTTAAAGGACAACCAGAAAATGCACATGTAGAAACTATACTATAATACTGTTTGCTGAGTCTAATGCCGTAAACAAGTTTACCTGGTTCAGCTGCTTGAGACATTCTTTTGATGTTGAATCATCTGAAATAACCGTGACTTCTTTTATTGCGCACATCTGCCCACTCCCACTGTTTAAGTTGCCAATCAATATTTAGAAGAGAGCCATAAATTGCAAGAGGAACAGCATAAATAAAAACAGTGTTGTAGGATCTGTTGCACTCCTATTGCCTTTTTCTCTTTTTCCCCCCTTTGAGCAGATGGAGACAGTAAGTGGCACTTCACATAACTTAAAGACATTACATTCCATAAAATGGATACACTAAAACAGAAAAAATCAATACCAAAAAACTATTATTGTCTCCAAGCACCGACTACTGATGAGTAAATCGTGCCAATAATCATCATCAAGCAGTATTTTATTAAGACTTAAAACTTGTTACGATGAGGCTAACTAGTCCCACCAGAATCATTCACATTACCTGTTAAATCCAAGATAAACATGTCCAAAAGTTCCCCTTCCTAGGAGCTTTCCTTTCTTCCATCTTGACAAGGTAGACATCTCTGTCGCTCCAGCAGTTCTTGGGCCAGGTAAGGAAGGAGGGCTGGTGGGAGAACCTGGTGGAAGAGGCAGCGGATGACATTCGTTCTTCCCATCTTCCAGCCTCCCAGTTGGGGAGTCTATGCTCAAAGCACCCAACAGCTGATGGAGAGGTGAAGTAGGCCTGCTTACTGCTCTCGAGCCCGGAGCAGGACTCCTCGAGCCCGGAGCAGGACTCCTCGAGCCCGGAGCAGGACTCCTCGAGCCCGGAGCAGGACTCCTCGAGCCCGGAGCAGGACTCCTCGAGCCCGGAGCAGGACTCCTCGAGCCCGGAGCAGGACTCCTCGAGCCCGGAGCAGGACTCCTCGAGCCCGGAACAGGACTCCTCGAACCCCCAACGTGTCCTTTATGATCTACAGATAGCCTGGGTTGCAGTTGGCAGATGCACTTGAGAAACATACCGAATTACAGATTTGTAAAGCTTAGCCAATTAGATCTTCAAATCAGTAAGCTGATTGTTACATACAAGAAACCCCGTCTCTATATATTGCTAATGGAGCAGAAAATCCATTGCTTAAAACTAACAATTAAAGCAAAAGAACAAAGCTGATAATTTTACAATAAAGTAGACATCTTCAATTCACATATCATTTTAAGATTAAAATCTTAACAAAAACGTTCACCCCTAATTTTATGCCCGAATGAAAACTAAAATGGTTAAGGACAAGTCCAGTAAATCAAAAGACTGTCCCAACAGGTAAGAAAAATCCAAATCAGTAATACTTGATTGGAAAGAGAAACTAGCTCCCATCCAAAGCAATCAAACTCTGACAGGAAAACTCGGTAAAGAGAGAGAGCAGTGGATTTAAGGACAAGGTATTTGGAAGTTCAGAAATCAAAAAAGCTGAGAAAACAGAAGAGACAGCAACCTCTGACGACAAACCATACTCTGACACAAAAACATAGAGAAAAGATTTAAAAATACCCCCTTTTTCGTAACTCAAACAAAAACCCCTAAAAATAGCTCAAGTCTATTCTTCATATCCAAAAACAACTCCATTTCACAAATCAGAATTTAACCCAGAATTCCAAATCCCACCAAAATATAAAAACCGAACCCATAATTCTATAAAAACACTAACCTGTAACCATCAAACAGACCATTACTACTCTGATTATTATCATGATCTTCACCTCCAGATGACCCCGAAGAGCTAACACTAGAAACAGAAACCGACCCAGATCCAAACCCGATTCCTCCTCCTCCACCACCAAGATCACTCGTGAATGGTTTAGGCAGAGGAAGCCCTCTTTTTTCACCTGAATCCGAATCAAAACCCGAAAACGCGGCTAAGCCACCACTGCCAGAAAATTCCCTGTTGGCACGTGGTGAATTCTTCCTCAAAGCCGCCTCATCAAGACTGCTCCTCCTCAATTTTTTATCATTTTTTCCATGTGGGTTCTCTCGATTACTCCCTTCTTTGCTCTTGCTGCTCTTTCTACCCCACCAAGCAGGCATTTTTTTTTTTTTTTGCTTTGTAAGATTGTAAATATGCAAACTTCAACTTCCGAGCCAAAATAGAGAACAAGATATGATTTTTCTTTCTTTGTGTGTGTAAAGAGGAGACTTCGAAGAAAGAAAAGTGGGAAAAAAGGGAGACTTTTTTGTTGTCTTTTTAGAGAGAGAAGGTTAGATTTTTACTTAACTTTCTAGAGAGAGAACTCATCTTAATTGCTCTGTAACAAGGTTTTGCTTATAATTAGTTGAGAGGAGATTAAAAACACGTTTTCATCTCCATCTCTATGTTTGAGTGAGATTGTTTTAACTGAAGCATCCGTTTCTTAATCACGTTAATTTGAGATTAATATAATATAATCCTCGTACATTTTCTTTTATTCTTTAAAAAAAAATGTTCAAAAATATCGATAAATCCAATTTCAATTTTAAAAACGAAATCAATCAAATGAAAATAAATAAATAATTTCTGATCTAGTATTTTATATATATATACACACACATGATAAGTGGGGTTTACTTTATGTTTCATAATAAATAATATTCTAATTCAAAACAAAATAGAATTTTACTTTTCACTTTCAAAGAATCTAGTTCACATGCCAAACTATAGGGAAAAATGATACAAATGTTATTGTTTATATGAGTTTTATATATATATATATATATAAGTGGGGTTTCAGAGAGAGAATGCGAAGAAGGTGAGTGTGGGGTCCAGAGGCTACAGTGAGGTACAGCTAAGGAGAAGGAAGAGACGGCAGGCGGTGGGTGGATTAAGAGAAGGAGTGATGACGTGGCAATTTTCTTTTAATATTTTTCTTCAACTTTCAGACAGAAGTGAGAGGGGACAGATAGTGGGGTTTTTACGTGAGGGTAGCAGTTTTTTTATTAATAAAAGGTGTTTGTTTATTTATTTATCATATATTGTATGAATATTTAGAGGTTTTTAGGAGAGTCATGAAGCTCTTTTTTTTAAGTATGTTTTTATTTAAAAATTTATTAAAATGATCTAAAAATATTAAAACATAAAATTTTCAATATCAATATATTAAAGTGATCTAAAAATATTAAAAAAAAATTTAAATAAAAAAAAAATTACATCACAACCCCAAGCATGATTTTATTATAATGATTAATTTAGAAAAAATTCTAGCATATTGAATCAATTCCTGAATTAAAAAATCAATTTATTAATTATTTTAAATTATTTTGACACTAATTTGATGTAAATTAAATTTCACTAAATTAATATTTTTTATTTAATTTAAAATTCAATTTAAATTAAGTTTTGAATCATAAATTTTTTAAATTAATTGTATCCTCGTTCATTTTTTAAATTACGCTTTCAATTTTTTTCCCTTTGCTTTTTTTTTAATTATTATTTCTTTGGAGCGATTTATATTATATTATCTCATATACGTGGATGAATTTAAGGTTTTGTAAACCAATGAACGAGGATTCTATTACAAGACTCTATCAATAAAATATTCAAGAAAAAAAATCCAGATATTATTTAAGGGTTGTTGAACCTAAAATTTGAAAAAAAAATTAAAATTGAGAAATTATATTATTATATAATCCAAGTATGATTGTTATTAAAAGGATATATATAAAAAGAGAAAGGAAAGTCTCAAAGCGTGCACGTTGATAATATATCCCTAGGGATTTAGTTTACGTGTTGTACGTCACTTAATCATCATTAGATATCATGCATTACCTAAGCTTAACAAAATAATATTAAAGGAGGAGGAGGTAAGGTTGTAGGGTTATTCTCCAAAACTCATTAATTTTAACTTTGATTGATAATTTATTTATTTTTAATTGTGAATTAACTAATCCCTTTTCCTTAGGGACGAAGGCTATATTTTAAATTCTCCAGGGCTAGCCAAGCTTACAATTTATTTTTATTTTTATTTTTTTTCACTATCAACATCATTGTAACTATTTCAGTGATTGGATGTGAGAGGATGCTAACTTGGATTTCACTTGGTAAAATGCACTATATACCTATTTGAAAATTAAAAAAAAAAGTGTGAAATTTATCCAAAAAAATCAAGAAAGTCTGTATGAAGCCAGTTATTTTTATGCTGTCTTCGTCTTGATGGTGCAAGATACTTTCAAAAACAATATAACACCGTGTGATTTTTGCGAAAAATAGATGAATTTTATTTGTTATTTTTTTATTAATATAAATATTAGATTAATTTATATATAATTTAATTAATTTTATAAATTTTAAAATTAATAAATATATAAATTATCAAACTTTTTGATCTCAAACTTCTCTCTCTCTTTTCCCTCGTCATACAAGCTGTTCACTATGTACACACTGAACCCTTTTTTTTTTTCGAGTTCCAATGAGTTCTATGCTTTACTGATAGATTATATGCGAGAATTTTTTTTATTTCTATGCAAGGTTGACATTATGTTTTTAGCCGGTGTTCGTTTGCATTTAAGCACTAATTCTATGCAAATAAACATTTTTTTTCCGTCAGTAATTATTTCTTTCTTGTTAACATATCACTAAGAATCTTTAATCTTTTCATTAACAATATAGCCAAACACTATTAATTATAGTGAGCACTAATATTTGTATCAATTATGAAACTCTTGACTCCACGTTACAAGGTGAGTGTCTCCAAGATTAATAAATATTTTAGTTCATAAGATATAAACAAATAAATTTTTTAGACTCCATATTTTATTCTTCAACAATTAATTCTTATATTTTTTTATATATTTATTAACTTAAGTATTATTTATTCCATTAAATGCTTATTTCTTCATGATTAATCAAATTCAAACACAAAATCTATATTCCAACCCATATATCTTAGTCGAGGATAGCTGTACATGAAAAAAAAAAACTTAATTTCCATTGTTTAAGTTTTTATTTTATGTACTTCTTCGAATTCTTATCGATGGAGTCTTCAATTCCATTGTTTACTATGAGATAGAATAGAGTTGTAACGTTGATTTCATTTAAAAAGCTGGGTTCAATTTCTGGTGCAAAAAATTAAGCAATTGAATTTAGAATGTTGTAGTTGATACTATAAATTCTTTGAAATTGTTGTTTTACTAATTGGCGAATGGGCAGAAATTTAGATCACCATTAGACCAAAAGGAAGCATTCACAAATAAATCTATATACTATAAAATACATAGTTAATGAGACAATTTTATTTTTTTTTATTTCCAGGTACATGGGATTGACAAATATATATATATACACACACACACTATTGACTTACAGATAAAAACAAACAAATAAATAAAATGACGAGAACAATTACATTAAATATGCTACCAAAACCTAAATGTTGTTATTTATAATTTATATTTTTAGCATTCTCATTTCATTACGTATTATAGAAACGAAAATAACATTGTTTAATGAATTCCTTTAATTTATTAAGATATTAAAAAATAAAAGGAACATTATTCCTTTATATTTTTTTAAGAAAACTTTAAAAAATGAGTAAATTATGCTTAAATACTAATGACATTATCTTTCAAAAATACAAGTCACGCAGTCCTATTTCTTACAAACTTAACATTGAATTGATAGAAATTATTATTGTAGATTTTTAGCTAGCAAAAGTCATGTGCTCCAACACATAAAGCATTATTTTAATTCCAAGCGAGATTCAAGTCCAAGTGGTGTGATTACTCATTTATTTTCTCCTTTTAAATTTACTCAGTTTATTTTGGCCCCTTACATTTTCTATTTCGATCCTTTAGTTTTAGTTGAATTCATCTACTACCCTTTATTTGTTTTTTTTTTAAGTTGAACAATAAAAGTTCATTTTGTTCCCTTTATTTCTTATGGTTTCCATATTTTTCGTTTTAGTTTACTCAAAGTTCATTTTGATCCCATAAATCTTCACATCTTCTATTTTGGTCCTTTTAGTTTTAGTTGAATTCTATTAACAACCCTTGATTTTTATTTTTTTATTTTGACCCCTAAAACTTTTTATGTTTTCATAGTCCCTGTAACTTTAGTTACAATTCATTTTAGTTCTTTAATATTTAATTTATTTGGTCCCTGTAGTTTTTCATTATTTATGTTTCAATTATAAAGTCTATTTTTCTTGGTGCCATTACTAGAGAAACTTTTAGCTAATTTTTCTTTATCAATAAACTGATTTATACCAAGATATTCTTGTACAAGCAAAGAGACGAGAGGAGGACTTGTTAATCTTAACGTTTTTGACAAGTAATTTTGAAGGAAAAAAAAGAAGTTTTCAAAATCATGGCATAATATTAAAGGAGTTATCAACTCTCAATGTGAATTGATAGCCTTTATTGATAGCCTTTATGTATTGAATTTTTAAATATTAAAATAGTTTTTGAGTTAAAATCTGGTTTGATTCATTTACTACCTATTTCTTATAGCATTGCAGGTGAGGACCCTTACAAGACTTGAAGGAATTTTATGTGGTTTGCTCGACCATGAGGTCGCAAGGAGTAATAGATGAACAAATTTAACTGAAAGCTTTCCCATTCTTTTTAGCAAACAAGGCAAATAATTAACTATATTAGCTTCCATCCGAATCTATTACAAATATAGCATGATCTAAAAATGAAGTTCTTCAAAAATTTCCTTTTGATTTCAGTGTAGGTACCATCTCAAAAAAATAATCAATGGAAGTCACCATGATAACAATGAGATATTGTATGAATATCGGGAGCGTTTTGATCAATTTTATGCAAGTTAACCTTATCATTAAAATTCTAATAAATTATTGCTGCTATATTTTAATGAGAGATTGTTACTCATAGACTATAGCATGATTGACATAACAAGTGAAGGAGCATGTATAGAAACAACTCCTAAAGAAGCATGAGATTAATCTTGAAAATAACAGTGAATCCACAACAATTTAGAGTTCATGTTAATTCATTTAGAAGAGTTAGTGAGGTCATACATTCTAATATTGAGACACAATTTTCAAAACTAACATCTCTTGTTAGACAAGTTAGACATGTCAAAGTTTGCGACATCTGCTCTTTGTAGACCATCTTATTAATAGATGCCCTCAATTATAAAATGATGACATTAATTTAATACCATGAGTAGATTTAATAGCCAATAAAAGAGATATTGATCATTTTCCAATCAATACAACCCTGAGTAAAAGAGCCTTAACGTAAGCTGAATCCAACCATGAAAGAAGTGGTAATGAAGGGAATTTTAAAGCTAATTAACTAAGGAATTATTTAT